AGCAACATCAAGCTAGTAGATGAAGAACAACAATATACCAGCATAGACCCCAAGCAGTTTCAAAACGATTCGTTTAGACCAATATTCGTCAAACATCGATTTCTTGGTACGCCCTACTTTCACCCCAAGAGCAAACTGCTTCATCAATGGATTTTTGTCGGCATTGACATCGCTATTTGTTCGGCCACACTTCTCTCCAGTAGGCCGGGCCACAGAGACCAGCCACAGAGTTGACAGAGTTCAGGGGCGCGGCCAAGAGGAGGACAAGGCCCAGCCACACAGCCCAGCCACACATTTGACAGAGTTCAGGGGCGCGGCCAAGAGGAGGACAAGGCCCAGCCACACAGCCCAGCCACACATTTGACAGAGTTCAGGGGCGCGGCCAGTGAGTGTGGCCAGCTCTTTTCTTTCTAAGATGGAACCCCAACAGTAAACTGTTTGGGGAAAAATTATACAAGCATAGACCCCAAACAGCTTCAAAACGATTCGTTTAGACCAATATCAGTCAAAAATCGATTTCTTGGTACTTTCACCCCAAGAGCAAACTGCTTCATCAATGAATTTTTGTCGGCATTGACATCGCTATTTGTTCGGCCACACTCCTCTCCAGTAAGCCGGGCCACAGACCAGCCACAGAGTTCAGGGGCGCGGCCAAGACAAGGACAAGACCCGGACACAGAGCCGGGCCACAGAGCCCAGCCACAGAGTTCAGGGGCGCGGCCAAAACAAGGACAAGAGGAGGACAAGGCCCAGCCACAGAGCCCAGCGCACAGGACACGAGGAGGACAAGAGCCCCGTAAGCCGTCCATAGCACAGGAGCACACGCGCGCCCTGCTCTCTCTCTCTCTCTAAGTGTTTCTTTCTCTGTCTTTCTCTTTGCACAGCGCGCTCTCACCGCGCCTTTCTGGAGCGTGAGCGCGCCCGTCCATAGCACACAAGCGCGCGCTTGTACTGCTGTCTTTCTTTATTTACTTCTTTCTTTCTTTCTGTCTGGTCTGGTCTGGTCTTGTCTGGTCTGGTCTGGTCTGGTCTGGTCTTGTCTTGTCTTGTCCTGTCCTGTCCTGTCCTGTCCTGTCTGTCTCTCTCTCTCTCTGTGAGCGCGCCTCTCTGGGGCGTATTTCAGAGCGCGCACGAGCGCGCCGTCCGTAGCACACGAGCGCGCGCGCGCGCTTGCCCTGCTCTCTTTCCTTCTCTCTCTCTCTCTCTCTCTCTTTCTCTGTAAGTTTCTCTTTCTCTTTAAGCTTCTTTTTTCTTTGTCTTTCTCTCTGCAGAGCGCGCCCTGAGCACGCCTTTCTCGAGCATATTTCAGAGCGCGCGCGAGCGCGCCGTCCATAGCGCACGAGCGCCCTGCTCTCCCTCCTCTCTTCTCTCTCTCTCTCTCTCTTTCTATTAAGCTTCTCTTTCTCTGTCTTTCTCTCTGCAGAGCGCGCCCTGAGCGTGCCTTTCTGGAACGTATTTCAGAGCGCGCGCGAGCGCGCCGTCCATAGCACACAAGCGCGCGCGCTCACCCTGCTCTCTTTCCTTCTCTCTCTCTCTCTCTCTTTCTCTCTCTTTCTCTTTAAGTTTCTCTTTTTCTGTCTTTGCAAAGCGCGCTCTGAGCGCGCCTTTCTGGAGCGTATTTCAGAGCCGAGCGCGCCGTCCATATAGCACACGAGCGCGCGCGCTCGCCCTGCTCTCTTTCCTTCTCTCTCTCTCTCTCTC